AAAATAACAATAGTTATTGTTACTCCGACTGTAACAAAAATAAACCAAACGAGGATCAAATAAAAACACATGTGTTCAAATGTAGAATCAAGCAATATTAACGCGCAAAAGGAGAAAGCATAAAAAATAAAGAACTACTTCTCCCAAAATCTTGAAACTTCTAAAGAGAATATTCACAATACTTTTCAGATTTTTTAGGATTGTGCAGAGAGAATATTTACGATAAGGACATATGTTCTCTGGGATTAGTAATGGCATGTACTGATTACTAAGGTACAAGTCGGTGTGCATTAAATTGGTTTTGCCGTGCATTGAAGCTACCTCGGGCGGGAATTTTTCTACCTCGGCCGGGAATTATTCCAGCGGTCACCTGTTACATTTAATGGCATTTTGGTCATTTCACCTGCTTTTGACACATCATCAATGTTAAAAGTGAGTCATTTGGGCATAATTAAAGGGGTGGATCATTTGAGCATTTCAAAAGTTTTTGGAGGTCATTTGAGCCAATTTCCCCTCAATTAAAAGTAGTCATAAAAAACAATATATTTTGAAAGATCACCAACAGTATCTAATATTGTGATAGTAGTTAACTGTGAATTATGATTTAATTTTTAATTTTATTTAGGATAAATAATTTTTTTAAAAAAAATAAAAAACCAAAAATAGAAACAAAAGGGAAAAAGAACATAATGATTATGTACCTTAGAAATTGGATCGTCCAGATTTCTATCCACTGGTTAAAGGCTTGTTTGACAATGATTTTAGAATCAGTGAGTTTAAGAAATTTAATGATAATTGATTTTGTAAATATTTTTTTTATATAATTATTTTATTGTTTGGTTACACATTTTTTCGAGTGATTTTTATATAATTAAAAGTGATTTTGAATGATTAATATTTGAAGTTTAAAAGAGAATTTTACCAAAGAGAAATTTTAGAGAGTAAGAGACAAATTTTAAAAAGAGAAATAAAGCTAAGAAACGAGATAGAACTAAAAGTTTAGAGAGAGATTAAAAAATTTTAGGAAAAAAAGAATGAATAAAATTAAAGATAAATAAAGTTAGAGATTGACAAAAATTTTTGAAATGAAAAAATAAAATTTCCCAAATTTTAAAGTAAAAATGAGGAGGAATAGAAAAACAAATTTGAAATTTAAAAAAAATAACTATTTTTAAAAACTAATTTTTTAATTTCTTTTTTTTACAAAAAATCACTTGAGAATTACCATCATAAAGTAATTTTGGATTTTTTTCAAATTCGATTGAAAATTATTGTCAAAAATGTCATTCTAAAGTGAATTTGACGAGAGTGGAAGTGATTCTAGTTAGCAGCGGATCTAAGATTTTAAATTAGGTGGTACAAATGCAAATAAACATAACGAAAAAAAAATCAATTTTGAACTTGAGCTTGCTAATGTGTGTTTCAATTTGCACGGGATAAGTATTTTAAAAATTAAGCTCTGTTAGATAGTTGTTGTAAACATTTTCAAAATCTTGGCTAAATTTTTGAAGGAAAAAAAAAAGAAAGAAAACAAAAATAGTTTTCAAAAGACTTGTTTTTTATTTATGGCTAAGAATTCAAATATGTTTTCTTTCTAATGAGATCTTACAAAAACAAACATAATTTTTAAAAACAGGAAATAAAAAACTAAAATAATTATCAAACGATTGCATGCATTACAATATAGGTAGGGCATTTTATCAGAGCTGTCTAGTGTATCATTCTACCGTTGTTTAATTCCTATCGAGGCATATACTCAAGAGTGGAGGTAGGACGGACGATTTCAAAGCAAACTACCATTCATTAGATATAACACAAACAACTCATTTTAACTTTTGATGTCTAAATATTAGCTACGTTTAAACACATTGGTTGATTTATATTATGGTTGTGGATGCAGCTTGTTGTGGTAAGTATCGCATCAATTTTCTGTGTGATCACATTATTTACCCCATGCATTTACCGTTCTCGGTTGAGGGGAAAATATGACCTCCAACAAACTCCCTGCAACGATTGTTGTGTTCATTTGTGCATTGTGTCAAGAGTACCGCGAGCTCAAGAATCGTGGTTTCAACATGCATATCGGTGCTCTCAAGATCCTCTCTTTTTAATATAATGCCCTTTCTTATTGAAGTAATGGATTGAGTGACGTGCTCAGGTTGGCAAGGAAATGAGCAGAGGCAAAAAGGAGGAGCAAATATGGCACCTATGGTTGATGAAACGTTGAAGTTGGAAAGATTTGAATTCTATTATCAAAGCGACCATTGATGAATAACGATATATTATCGCCGTTTTCTCTAGCATTTTATTGTCACGTATGATGTATTGATCTCTTTATTCGAGTTCTTTGTTTCTAGAGTTGTGCACTTATTGTAAGAAATGGTGGCTTATAAATAACAAAATATGTTTGATTGTTTTACGTGTCAATTTTTGTTCAACTACTTAAAATTATCACTTAGATTCAAAAACTCAAAAGCTAGTGTGTCATAGATAGGTTTTGAATATAATTTGATAATTGCAGTCCATTTTGATGTTAATTTAGGTTTGGAACTTTAACCTAGAACCGAAATATCTGTGACATCCAATTCACAATTTATTTTTTATTAATTAAACAAATAGTTGGAATTTCCAATGTGATACATTCACAAAGAGCCCAATATACTTATTACTGATCAACGATTTATTACAATATCGAGACCTCTTTTTTTAATGTTTGTCGCTTTTGAAATCTCGATAGAATTAAGGCAACATTTCTCGATGTATGGTATTAGGTGAACAATTAATCACTCATAGTCATGACTCTCCTTCTCGTTATCTCCTCTAGTGGGATAAAGCTTCTTTATATGTGGAAGAAGACTTGTTACAAAAGAAAATAGTTCACTCCCTCGATGGTATATACAAGGGCACAACTAAAAATTTTCTTAGAGAAGGGCAAAATTTTACGAGTTAACTTCTTGTATATAAAATATATGAATCTTAAAAATTTAGGAAGGGAAAAATTAGAGAAAAGCTACATAGACTTTTTGAATTACAATAATTTGAAGGAAGTGACCATTTACTTGTTCACTTCACTTAGCAACGGAGGAAGAGAGAAAAAAGAGAGGGAGAAAAGGGGAGAAGGTAGTTGGGAGGGAGAGAGACGAGAAGAGATAAAATTAATTCAATTAAAAGATAACTAAAATTAAAAATAAAATACTCTGGACCAAATACGATATTTACGGTTTGCCCCTTGACAAAAGCATTCGGACGGTGGTATTTTATTTTATTTTAGGAGAACAAGAGTGATGAAACAAACTTTGATTTATGACAACTTTAGTTCTAAGATGGTCCTCGATCGATTGACAACCTACTTCGATGGCTCTCTTCCCTGAATTAGGAAACTTATTTGTCATACTCTTGCTTCATCCCTAGTTGGTAGGCACTCTCTAGTAGAAACACCCCTTTTTCATTGATGCTAGCATATTAATTGTCTCGTGTTGTTTTAATACAACAACAGATATTCAAACTCATGACATTTTGATCAAGATATATATCTTAACCAGTCGAATTATAATTTAAAAACCAAGTAGAAACTGAATTCAAACTTTAAAATATCAAAAGTATCAATTTTGAGACTTAAAAAATCAAATAGAAAACAACTCTAAATTTAGATCCCAAAAAAAAAATAATCATCATTTGATAACTCGTAATCTTTCCCATGTTTATTAAAAATTTATGATTTTTTTTTTCAATTTTGATATGTATTTTGAAATATTATAGATTCTTTCCCAATTGTAAATTAATTTTCTAACTCATAATACCCATGCTGAATATCCTCCATCTAAAAGCAAAGCCAACATCTGAACTCAAAAAAAAAAATGGTGGAAATAAATTCTAATAGGAAGGAAAAAAAAAGGCTTCAACTTTAACATTTTGAGTGATTAAATTGAAGATCCTAATTCCCAACAAACTTGCTAAACAGTAAACATGGAGACTGCCCTTCAAAATCCAAACTCCAAAGAATGTAATTACTCCAAGGCATGATGATGGATGATACATAGTTACACAAGAAACTCCCAAATAATCATTTGATTTTTCTCTCTACAAAATCCATACGATCGCTCATCGAACCCGAACTGACATCAGCCACATTCACCGACCAAACCCCGCCCGTCTGCCCTTGGCCGAACAAAACTGGTTAAATTATGCTACAAGCATGGAGAGCCAAGGGAAGCAGTTCGACAAACCCGAAACCGTCATGGAGATGCATGAATATAAATACAACAATGCAGCAGCATCATCACAAGAATGCCAAAGCCATTAATAAAACATACAAGATAATTGAATTGGTGTAAGGGGTGCTGCCATAGAGATACTTTGGAAGGCAGCCTCCAGCTGAATCAGAAGAATTTGAGGATGGAGCCAAGGATGTGCTATTTACTAAAGTGCCATTGTTTCCAGTACTGCATTTTAAAGAATAAACAAGAGAAAACTAGTCAGAAAAAGATATATATGCTGATGTTATGTGAAGCATCTCACTGAGATCACAGATAAGAATTAAGAGTCTGTCTTTTACGTACCTTCCCGGAAATATACAGGTGCCGTGACCTGCAACGAGAAACATCAGACACAAACATTAGTAATCCACAATAATGTGGAAAAGAAAAGAGTCACTCTTTGAGTAGTCTTTCTACATTCGCATTTCAATATTCGGGGAAAAGTCAACCGTTCTCTTAATAGATCTCCAAAACAAAGGCCTCATCTAATAACCATTTTGTTTTTAGTTTTCAGTTTTTAAATTTATGCTTACTTTCTGACCATTTCTTTGTATGTTGTGTTTTACTTTACTCAAATTTCAATAACAAAAACAAGTTCTTACGAACCATTCTTCTAGTTTCTAAAATTTGGCTTAGTTTTACAAGCATTTTCAAAAAGTAGATAGCAACATAAAGAAATTAATGGATGAAAGTAGTATTTATAAGCTAACTTTTGAAAAACAGAAAACTAAAACAAAAATGGTTTATCCAACGGAACATGATATAACGAATTCACAAATCGTGTTGATTCAACAAATAATTGCAGCTTTTATTCTCATTTTTTGCTTATATTATTAGGGCATAGAAAGCTCAAGGAACACAACAAGCAGTTATTATAGGAGCTATCATATCATGAATAAGCATATCAATTGATACTATTTCTAAGAATTTCGAGATTGCATACTTGGGTTTGTGGTGGTGATGATAGCCACTCCTTTGAAATCACATGTCCCTGGTGACTTTGCCATTTTCTGGTAATATGAATTGAAAGCATAGGTTGCATGAGCAATGACATTATCTGGCTGATAACATGACTGCCCCTGCAGTAGCGGGGAGCAATCGACTTTTCCTGGTCCACAAGCCCAATCCAGTGCTGCCTGCAGCAACTTACGATCTGCACCATCTCGTGCAACACAAAATGTCTGGTTTGTGGTATCATTTGCCAAGACAGCACCAGCACCAGTCAAGTGTAGGACATAAACTGGCAACCCATTTGAATTGAAGAGACCCCAGTTCTTCTCCGAGACCGAACCGGGTCTTAAATCCTCGTTGTAGAGCTCGTATATGTAGGTACTAACAGGAACTCCAGGATGCTTGGGCGTTCCAGTGTTGTTAAGAACATGTCTGATTAAGTTGCTGTTGTAGGTGTTAGCATTATCTAAAGTTGCATCTGGCTCCGATGCATTGCCCTTGGATGGCCAGCCTGACTCCGTCACAACAACTCGTATGTTAGTGAAGTTTAAATCCGACATTGCAAAATACGCAGCATCAACAACTGCATCAAAGACATTCGTATAGTGCAAGAGGGTATTGGCATCAACAGCTTCCTTGGTCGGAGGGAGGGGTCGAAAAAGTGCATAGTCCAAGGGAATCACACCATTCGATTGCATGTAATCATAATATGGATACACATTAAGCATGAGATAAGACCCAGTGGACTGCAAAAATTTAAGCAACGGTACCATGACAGGGTCCCATGAACGGTTAAAAAAGGCCTGGGATGGTGGGAACGAGTCAAGAATAATGGAAGAAGAATGCGGGGTAGAAACTTTAATTTGGCGATCTATATTAGACGCAACAAGGGCAGACTGAATGAATTTTAGGGCCGAGACGAGGATTGGGGCAGCATTTGGAAGAGAGGTAAGAACTTCGGCGCCAACGGCTATGCCTGTGATGTTGGTGGCAGGAACATGGGCAATGACATTCCGAGCAACCCAGTTGGCTGCAGTCGCATTGGACTGGCCAATTCCGAGAAGTTGGTCGTTGGGCACGGAAACAGTCACCTGAATGCCTGTGTTGGCAAGTGCAACAAGCATCGCACGGTCGGCATCATACAGCCTGATATGTCTAATATTTTGAGCTTTAAGAAGTGCAACTACCTGAGTTGGGCTGGGCATATCAGTAAGGTCTGTACCAAGGTTTACACCAATGAATGCAGCTGCAAAGATATCCAGAGTTTAGATAACCTTAATTTTTCAAGAAAGCAACATTTTTCATCTTTGTTGGAGTAAAATCATGATAATTAGCACGAAAACGATCATCTAACCTACTCATACCAAAAAGCTATAATCAAGCCAAAGAGGGAAAGGGAGGGGAAGAAATTCAGGCATCCAAGATTCGAGCACAGTTCACATTGGCCAATTACATCAAATATTTACTATAGGGTTCGGAGGATTGCATAATACATAGTTTTTAAAAAGCATATGCTGTATTAAACACAGCATTCATATGAAAACCGCATAATTATATGATGCAACACATAAAATTGATAACCCTCCAAAAGAAAAATGTTATTGTTTCCAAATGTAATAGGCTCATTCTTGTGACAAAATTAAGGAGCTTTGGAAGTTCAGATCTAATAGCCTTCCTAGTAAGTACTAATCTTCATACAAGCGAATTAAGAGTTCGGAACAAGAAAATTAAGGGCTCGTTCGGTAACGTTCTTGTTTTTTTATTTTTAATGAAGAAAAATGTATTGCATGGTTTCAACGTCCAATAATTCAAGTATGATAAAACAATCTTTTTATTAATGTTTTGGAACAAATTGAAAATGAGAACAAGAAAGGAGAAACTTGTTTTGATTATTTCTAAAATTTCTATACAATTGTGAGAATGTTCCCAAAAAAGGAGAAACAATAAACAAAGTTAATTGTAAAATGCTTAGATTTTTTAAGAAAATTAGAAACGAGAAACAAGAAACAGGAACGTTACCAAACAAGCCCTAAAATTCTTCATCTTAAGCCTTAAAGATAAAAGCTATCTCAGCCCTATATATGCGCCCCTCTCTCAAGATAGTTCTGACAAACTTCAGATAATATCGCAAAGAGGGGCCAAATTTTACCTTCAACTTTTTACATTACTTTTCAGTTCTGAAAAATTTAAAGGGAGAAATTGGAGAGAAAAATTTACAATCCCAACTTTTTAAAATAATTTTTTTATCTAAGACGAACTAAGAGAGAAGCAACTCCCTTCATTGCTCTGCCCCCACCCCTCTATAATCTCTTTTTGCCCACCATTATGAAAGAGGATAAATAAAGTAAGCTCAGGGAAAATTCCAACAATCATGAGAGGGACAACTTTTTCACATCCCAACTCTTTTACATAATTTTCTTAATCTAAGATGAACTAAGAGGGAGGCAACTTCCTTCTCCGCTCCGCCCCTATCCTTCAGCCTCTATTTACCCTCTACCCGCCATTATGAAAGAGGGTTAACAAAATGAGCTCAGAGATAATTCCAACAACAATGAGATAATAGTTTTTCACCCCAAAATCAATACAATTTTCAAACATATAAAACAGGATTATAAACTAATACTAATTGCTCTCCATGTTATATCTTGCCCATTTTCCCATTTTTTATGCTTCTTAGTGGACCAATGGCATAAGAAAAAGCTTAAAGGCACCATCAGATGAAGTTATTTTACATTACACATCACATGCTAGATTTTTGACATATCAGCCACTTTCCTCTTCCAATATTCTCTACTTCAAAATAAGTTAACAAGTTAAAAGACAGAAGATGAGCTGGAACCAAATACGGCTGCTGACAGACAACAAAAAAAAAACTCCCCCCATCAAAGATGGGGCTCTCAGATAGATTCACTTTCCCAAAAGAAAAGATTTTCAATTAGTAAACCCAACTTTTGACAGATAAGAAATCAACCACAGAAACTAAAGTTCTGCCAATCTTTCTATTCAACTAATTCCATGTTCAGATCCCTCTAAAACCCATCAACAGAACACCACATTCATACCTATTCCACCATGATTTATTAAACAAAAGAGAGAAGTTATTACAAAAAAAAGCCACTGAAACTAAGTTATTCAATGGATGCTCAAAGCTTTCTAGTGAAATGGGGGGAAACCCACATAAGGGAGGGATAAAATGAACTCAACTCCAGAAGGACAGAGTGGTAAAACATAAACTACAACAATGAAAAGGAATGTGAAAAGAAAGCAAAGAGAAGATGTAATCCAACCAGAAAGTTGAAAATATATGGCAACCGGGAAGCTTACCTTCATCAGCAGAAACTACAGACACTGCTAGAAGGAAAAAGAGGAGAATGAGCGCCATTGAAGGGATTTCTTGGCTTGGGAACCCTTGCAAATACGGCTCCTCCACAGACCCAGTTCACAAAGCGAAAAACCCCAGTGCCCCACAAATTCAAAATCTAGGTCGGACCCCAAAAAGAAAAGAATCCCAAAGAACAAAAAAGAGGGGAATTTTGAGGAGAGAGAATCAAAAAGAGGAGCTAGTGGGAGCAAACTTTTGAGTGGAGAGTGGTGCAACTGCAGGCAGGGTTGAGTGATATGTCAGAGAACCAACGATGGAGATTCGATGAGGGTGCACTATAATTCGTGAGGGTTACCACAGAGGAACGCTATTGCTGCTTTGAAACTGAATTTGGGGTTTGAGTGTGGTCTGATTTGTCCTGTTCTTGGAATTGAAAACTGTGGAGAAAAAGCAGACAAAGGTTGCAACACACGATGCGACCACACTAGCTGACGTGGACTGAAACTGCCAGCTGGATTCAACGGTCGTGTTCTTCAAGTTCCAGCCTTTTTTTTCCTTTTTTTTTTTTCTTTTGTTTTTGGTGGGTTCTTGTTCTTGGTTCCCGTAGTGGGCATGGGCTGCTTCGTTTCTGGCAAAGCGCGAGGCTTTTTTGGGCGTTGGGAAAACTTGTATTGAAATGGGAAACGGCCATTTATAAAGGGAGGCGTGACTTTTGGCCCCTTCCCATGCGAGATAATATTTGAATTTGTGTAAGGCTAAATTACAAAGAAAAAAAATTAACTGCACTTTGTCATTTGTTTACCTTGGATTTTAATATGCGAAAGAAAATGAAATTTTAAAAAAAAAATTATTTACATATATATTATGTGAATATTATTTTATGTTTACCAATCTTTTATTTATCTTTTAGTGGTTTTGTTTCTTTATTTTATTAAAAATATTGAAGCTATTTCTTTAAATAAAAAAGTTGTTTCTTTATCTTGTTAAAGTTACAAGTTACTTGTGAGATGTTACGTATTTTGACAACTATATATAGTTGTTTTTCTTCGTTTGAGATATCTAAGCATACTACAATTGGATATTCTCCTCCTCACACAAGAATCTTCTTTTTTTTTCTAGTTGTTCTTGTTTGTGTTGAAAGTAAGTGTCTAAAAGTTCTGTCAGATCTTAATAGTTTGAGATTGCTATTCTACTGGGGTTCCTACTGAGACGATCACTATAGTATATTAGCAACTTGCAGAACAGATATTTGTCTTCAGGTCAGCGCTATTGAAGCGTGCCTCAACTGTATTCATCAAGTTTTGGTGTTCATTGAGCTATAAAATTATATAATGGTTTGTAGCCAGTTACGTTGTAATTTGTTTACCAGTATTACACAGTTTACATATACAGTGTATATTTACCCAATAATCTGAAGATAAACAACCTAATGGCCGGAAACACTTCCACCAATGCTCCTTCGATGATGGAATCAACCATTGTCAAATCTCATGCTGAAAAATCAGAGAAGTTCAAGGGAGAAAACTTCAAAAGATGGCAATAGAAGATGATCTTCTACCTCATCACCCTGAATCTTGCTCACATTTTAAAGGAGGTATGTCCAACTACTCCACTAGAAGCAATCGTTCCTGAAACTGAAGCTGCCAAGTAGGCATGGATGTATTCAGACTTTTTATATCGTAACTAAATTCTGAGTTGCTTAGAGGACACCTTATATAATGTTTATTGCAATTCCTTTGATACTTCAAGGCAATTGTGGGAGGCATTAGACAAGAAGTACAAGAAGATACTGGTACTAAGAAATTCCTTGTTGGAAAATTCTTAGACTATAAAATGGTTGATACCATGTTGGTAGTCAATCAATTCGAAGAATTGCAAATTATTATTATCATTAGTGATTTGCAAAGTGAAGAATTGGTCCTTAATGAATCATTCCAAGTTGCTATTGTGATTGAGAAATTGCCTCCAACTTGGAGAGAATTCAAATGTTATCTCAAGCATAAGCCAAAGGAGTTATCCATAGATAATCTTACTGTGAAAATTCACCTTGAAGATGACAACAGAAAGGGAGACAAAGAGCCACAAAAAATTGAAATTAGTACACATATTGTTGAATCTTCAAGGTGTCATTCCCAAGAAGAACGAGTCAAAGACAAAGAACGTGAATCTTGGGCCAATGAATGACGCTAACAAGCGCATTCGTGGAATCTGCTGGGTTTGTGGAAGAGTGGTCATATAGTTGCAAACTGTAAACACAAGAAATGTCAAAGCTCCAACAACCAAGCCAACATTGTGGAAGATGACAATTCAATTGCTGTCATCTCTGAGGTAAAAAATGACCTCTAACATTAAAGGCTAGCGGATTGATATTGTGCTACTAGTCACGTTTGTGAGGACAAATCATTGTTCACCACCAATGAAAAGCTAGATGACTCTGATAAACTATATGTGGAAAATGCTTCAACAGCCTCAGTGGAAGGCAGATGAACTGTTCTATTTGTAAACAATATAATTTGTAAAATTCAAACATTCGTATTTATATGTGTCTGTTGCTAGATTCATTACCTCTACATCGAGAACTAATATCTCTCTCTAATGGGACATTTTTCTACATTTAGGATTAATATTTTCTAATTTTCTTAGATCATATATATTATAATCAGAATGCATAATACATGATATTCTAAGTAAAATTTTCGTATACATTATAATCAATTTTTCTATTATTCTTTTCTTTTTAAGCTTTTCATATATAGATTCATATTCTATGTAACCAAATCTAAACAAATTTCACATATTAAGGGTATTGAACAATCAATAATATTTAAATTAAGAAAAATAAAAAATAAAGTTAACCAATTTGAAATGATATCCAATTAAAATTGAAAAAAATTTATGAAAATAAATATAAGGCTTTTATAAAACCGAGGGTCTTGGGCGATAGCTTACTAGCTTATAGCTTAGGCCAGCCCTTATCAATACCTAACAAATGCTGAGCGGTGGCGGCAAACGTTGCCATGGAAATCGGTATGGATTTAATTTTAAACAAAGATAAGCGATGTCGTAGGATCATGAAAGGTGATCCATCTCTCGATTCGACCACTACGACAAGTTGGTAGAAATAGAGCAGTGAAATCTTTAGGACTATTCCGTATTTCTTCAATGTGTAGAAATCAAATCCTTTGTTCTTCATAAACAAATCCAACGAAGAAACACGTCCCATATCGCTAATGCGATCAAAATCTTTAAACTCCCAAGTCATCACTACATTTCCCTTCTGATCAGCGAGTGTGAGACTAAGTTGGAGTAGGTTCAATCGGTTCACATTTAATCGAAGACAATTATAGAATTCTTCTTCTGAAACGCCTTTCAAAATATACTAGAGAAATCCTGGTTCATCAATCGAGGTCACACGCATAAAAACTTCTTTAACCTAAACTTAAAAAACAGTTTCAATTATCCAATATCTGGAAACTCTATATCAATAGCGACTACTGGAAACTTTGAAAGATATTCATTTACCGGCTCTACTTTTTCGTGGAGATTGTGAGACCAAACCTCTCGATTATGGCGGATGGATCTTGGAGCTACCGGTGACTTTCTGATCGTCGTCTTCTCCATTCTTTCCAGTGATTTCTTTCCATTGCTTTGATCTAGAATTTTTCGTTTATTTTCTCCATAACTTCTCTTGATTTCTTCACATTTTGATTCTTCGATCACCTTGAAAATGGCTTCTTATTTGGTGCTTCGACTTCTTATATGATGCTTCTCTATAATATCTTGCCCCAAAAAAAATTCCACCATTATCTTCTCATTTGATTTCTTTAAATGTTAGTTTGATTTTTGAAATGTCGAACGTGGTTTAATCTTTTTTTCTTCTTTTATAATTTGAATTTCAATGACGTCATGTAGATATAATTACATAAAGAAAATATTATTTTGTCCAATATTAGTTAAAAACAAAATTCTGTATTGTTTTTTCTTTCATCTTAATCGTCATCTTATCTTCTTCCTAAAAAAAGAGAGAAAAATAATAATCTTCTTAACTTTTAGGAGTGGGGAAATGAATACTACATTGAAAGATTTTTCGAGAAATCAGTAGGTTTGTTTGAAGCAATGCTTTGAATTTGGGACCACATCCTATGTTCAAACATTCAACTCACAAAATAACGATTTTTTTTTTATATTTTCATTTTCAAAATTGAAGAAAATATCTATCGCCTTCAATTTGCAAAATTGTGAATTTTTATATATTATTCATTTTTAAAATCGTAAAAATGTTAAAATACTATTTGTCATTGTATACTTTCAAAATGCTTGTTTGGTCCATGTACTTTCAACTTTGGTTCATTTTAGTCATTATATTTTCAAAATCATTTTATACTTTCAAAATCGTTTTGGTCCCCGTGATTTTAAAAAGGGGTCATTTTAGTCCCTTAATCTTATTTTTAATATCATTTTTTCTATCATAATTTCAATATGACACTACACTCAACATATTTCTTAAAATGAAACAATTACTTTATACTAAAGGGTTTTCGTTATATGTAAAATTTATGTTAAAATTTTGCGAATAGGACTAGAATGATCACTTTTCAAAGTACATGGATCAAAATGAAAATTTTGAAAGTACAAGGACTAAAATGAACTAAAATTAAAACGTATAGAGACTAAAATGAATATTTAAAAAATATAGGGACTAAAGTGAACTAAGGCTAAAATTACAAGGACTAAAGTCTAAAATAGTATTTTAACCATTAAAAAAATATCTCATCTCGTGTTCGAGTCTTCAACTTGCAAAATGGTGATTTTTAATATATTAATTACGTAGGTATAAGATCATAATTTTTAATATTTATTTTTCAATTTTTTTAGCATTTATCCTAAAAAACTAATATCATAACCAATGATTTATTATAGTTTAGTTTTTAAAATTTACTTAATTTGACCATTTATAGTAAATGCATCTAAAATTATGTTTTGAGAGGAAAAAAATAGTTTTTACCATAAACTTTCAATTTCATTAAATTCAACCTTAAACTTAAATGAGCCTCGCAATTTTTACCTCATATTCAATTTTCACTTATTCACTCATTAGTTAAAAAAAAACAATATAGAAAACTCCAAAAAGACTCACTTATGTAATAAAAATCAATTAAGTTTGGTTGATGTACAAATCAATCGTTAAATAACTTTGCAAAAACTTACCAATTAAAAATATAAATACTATCAATAAAAAAATATGTTTTATAATTCATTTCAACACATATGAAAATA